CCATTCAAGACTGGTGCATTGACTGGTGGCAAGGTGGCATGCAATTAAATTGACAGGGATAGTGATATGTGTTTGCTCTTGGACTACATGCGTCTTTATGTAGGGCTTGCCGTATAATGGACGCTCCAAGGCTACATTTTTGGTTTGAGCCACTGATTCGGTCAGCATGTTTTTCATTTTGTAGGCTGTAGGTGGGGCATGTTTTTCATTCTATAGGCTGTAGACGGGGCATGTTTTTCATTCTATGATATAAGCTGTAGACGGGGCATGTTTTTTATTCTATAGGCTGTAGGTGGGGCATGGTTTTTATTTTGCAGGCTGTGAGAGGGGCATGGTTTTTTATTCTATAGGCTGTGAAAGGGGCATGGTTTTCTATTCTCTAGGCTGTAGGCGGGGCATGGTTTTTTATTCTGTAAGCTGTGGGCAGAATGGGGGGCATGGGCTTTCACTGCAAGGAACGCGTAATGAGATCTTGTTTCAGAGCGCTTGCCTATCACGACATTGGTCAAGCTTTTTTTTATTAAAGTTCGCTTCCTGCTTCAGCTACTTTGTTCCGTTCTCTCTTTAAAAGATTTACAGTGGTTCCCCACTTAATTTCGAACTCGAAGGGGGTCTTTATGATGTGGAAACTACTGAGGGTTGACACGAAACGAGGGTGACTCAAGCAGTGTTTTATGCTTAAAGGGGATATAGAAAAAAGTTGAAATAACTGAGGGTTTATCTTATTGAGAGTGAAATTAAACGGGGAACCGCTGTAGGCAGTTGCCAAGTCGTTTACCCTTTAAGGTGCATTTCAGGTACTCTATATAGCACAATCACTCAAATAAATGTTGGGATCTTCAACTAAACCACAGGAAACGATCGGCTAATAACACTCTGTATATTATAGGATCAAATAGAAAAAAAAAGAGATATCCGCTACGGGAACATGCATGTCATTTTAACGATATCAATGAGCTCAAAGATATATACTGTACGACTGTGAATACTAAATAATGTACTAGATAAGCGTGTTTTGACATGACGGATTAGGCGGAACTTTGGCCAAACTTGACATATTGCTGTCAGATTGAAAAGTGTTTTACTGTACTTGACAGATTCTCAAGGTATTTGAATGATAATCGCACATGCTTATGTCTAAGTAGATCAGTTTGGGTAGTATTTATGGTACAGTAGCAGTTCTTCCTTGGCTGTGCTCAATAGGTCATTCGCAACCCAATCCAATCACAATATGCATTTTCCCAACCCATCCGCCGGCGAACATAGCTCTTGTTGAACGCTAGCTGCAGCTTGGTACTTTTTTCTTTTCTTTTGTATTGCTACCTTTAAAGAGCAAAAAATGTATCTACATAGTAATAATGTCGTGAACAGTTCATATACATAAGCTATTTTGGTTATATATATATGGTAGTTCGTGAAACAAGTTTTAGCTGTTTTGAAAAGGACATTTCACGATATAAGAATCTTCTCTTGCCTGAGTTACCTTTGGTTAGTCAAAGTGATTGAAATGATTGTATGTAGTAACGGGTTTTGTTATGTGATATGCAGTGGTCCCCCGTTAATTTCAAACTTGAAATTCCCAATTTCTTTTGTGATAATAACGGATTGTGAAAGTTAACGGATGCTAGGACAAACTCCTATGCATGGACGTTTCTTTATCCTGACACACACCTTGAACTTACACGACTTACCAATGCTCCTGAAGATGTCATTAGATGGATCCAGTAATTTACATAGCCTATTATTCAATATATTTTCTGACTAGATTGACCTTTTTTCATATATTCTACAGTATACCACTTGACTCTCATGATAGATGATATAAGTTTGCATAGCCTGTTATCCAATGCATTTTCTAGCTGGATCGACCTTTTTTTCCACATACATACATAATGGATAAAACTACACCAAAAGAAGAGACAATGGAATACCAAGAAGCATCCAGTGAAACAGCGATTGCTTGCTGCATAGCAGTACCATTGAAGGTCAGAGAAAAAATTTATCATGTTGACGCTGCTTAAGATTTCTTGGCCTCTGATGGATACAGTATGAAGAAATTACAGTGCCCGCTCGATAATTCGATACTCGATAACTCGATTTTTTCGATAATTCGATCACTTTTTCAAATGACCAGGCTGGTAAGCAGTAAAATATCGACAAATCGATAATTCGATCATCGATCACTTGGCTGTGACATATCGACAAGTAGAAACCAATAGAAATGCTCAGTGACGCGGAATCGAACCCAGCGATCAGTGTCGGATCATACATCAGAGTCCAGAGTTAACATGTATTCCCAATAAAAATTCGTAGTATATATTTATTCACTTAATTTAGAAAGTCTATGAGGTGGGATTGCGACAGCTTCACTGATTGCCGCTCCTCTGACTCCAAAAGTCTAACTCTTTTTTTTACCAGATACAAGATGTCCATATCCAATTTGTGTGTGATGTCAAGTTTATCTATAAAACTTTGGTAGAGGCGCTTTTTTTCTTTAATTGCCCTAATATTCGCATCGGCATCATCTTCTTCTTCATTTTGTTCTTCGGTCTCTCCCTCCTCGCCTATTATAAAGACGAGGGGATTTTATCCATCAATGCACTTACTTTGTATGAAGATGTCCCTACTAAAAGATTGATAAGTAGTACTGTACCTTCATCTTCAACGTTCTGATTCACCAAACGATCCATTCGTTCTTCCAGCGTCAACATCTCATGGATCCCGTCGTCTTCGTCATCTGGAATTACGAAAACTGTGTTCGTATCATCTTGATCATTGCTGACAGATCTTAGGTACGAGTCAAGTTCGACGGTCAGTTACTCCTCCTCCTGCAAAAAGCTTCTTCGGATTCAATTACTTCTGTAAGGGTTTCCACTGATATAAGGCCAGTATGTCGAAAACAATTTGAAATTGTTTCGGACGAGACACGGTCCCAGGCCATAATAGACCAGTCCAAGGCTTGTTTGAACTTATTGTTGTAAAGATCGTGAAGCTCGTTGTTGTTGTAGCGAATTGTTGCTCTGCGAAATAAGATGCTCCTAAAATAGATTTGGCCCAACAAGTTCTGCTTTCTTAACATCCAAATAAATCACTTTGTCTGCTTAAACCTCCTGTTGTTTACAATGTACCTATATTTTTTTTTGAACGAAGCAATGATTCCTGCATCAAGCGGTTGGTAGTGGGATGTGGTATTCGGAGGAAGCATGCACAACTCGATATTTTTTAACTGAATATCCAAGTTTTTATGCGAAGGTGCATTATCCATCAATAAGAGAGCTTTTTTGCCTTTATGTGCATGAAACACTGCCGAATCCAGCTTGCGCAAGATCTCTCTAAAAATCGACTTTGTCATCCACGCTTTCGTATTGTTGTAATACTTGTAACAGTCCTTGACTATTATGGTGTATTGAATCAGCTGTCGTTCTTTTTCATGTTTTACTAACTTTAACTTACTCAGCTTTGATCCAAAATCTTTTCCTCCAGCAAAGCGTCCAATGAAGTAGGGGCCAAGTTTATGCGAGCCAGTTGCATTGGTGACAAGGACAACAGTTACACGACTTTTATCGACTTTTCGTCCGGCAATAGGTTTGTTCGAAATCGTTCGACGTGGCACTTGCTTGTAAAAAAGTCCCGTTTCATCAATGTTATAGATGCATTCAGGTGGAAACTCGGCTATTATGGCCTTGACTTCTTCGAGCTGCTTTTGGATCTTTTCATCGTCGATGTCAACGGAGCCAACCTCACCATGGATACCGTGTGATTTTAATCTGTGACGTTTCATGAATTTGGTGACCCAGCCGTCAGAATACTGAAATCCTTCAGGAACAACAATGTTGAGGCGTCTTGCTTGAATTTTTGCTTGGAGAATGATGCTTTCCCTGTTGACTGGTTGCCCAACAGATGCCATATCCATGACGTGTTCCGCAAGAACATTTTCGACTTCTGGCAATGCTGGTACGCGTTTTCTTTTCATATTAAGCTCGGTTTCCGACATATCATAGCGAGATACTTTTCTTTTTCTCTAAGAATAAGCGAGAGTGTCGATTGGACAGGTGGTTTCTCAAGTTTGAACTCATCCTTAGCCCATTGTGCTAAAGCACGTTGACCGACTTTAGGATTCTGTTGTTTGTATGTGCACATAGCAAATTTTTGGCGGTTTGTAAGTGAGTTGTTGCCCATAATATTGAAGTAAAAAGATAAGGTAAAGAAGACAATGTTTTTTGCTGACACATGACATCAGCTACTTTATTACTACATGTAACACAAGATGACAGGGTGCCTATACTTTCTTCTTGAACCTTCCTTTTCTTAACGGAGTCCCAATTCCATAACTCGATATTTCGATAATTCGATCACTTACAGCTGTGACCAAAGTGATCGAATTATCGAGCGGGCACTGTATACCCTGTCTCCCCTCTAAATTATGACAGTGATGCGATAAGTTTGAAGAAAAACTGTTCGCTAGATAAAGCTCTTTAGATAGGTTTATTAAGGTTTAATCTCTATAATACCATATTCATTGTTATTTAAATCTAGTTGAAATAAATATCATAATGTGAATACATATTTTCCTTTAAAGCATATTGGTGGATCACTTCTTCCTATAATCCGATAAGGCTTCGACCCTCGATGATACATTGAAAGTGAAATAAACGGGGATGTTAAGATTTATATGTTATTTTATCCAGAGATCATTGAGTGTTGAAAGTTACATAACGTATGTGGAAATTAAGGGGGGACTACTGTGTATCTATATGCATTGGTCATATGAATCCACGCCACACTCATTATTGGTCAAGCCCACAGCTTGCTGTGCGTATGATCTGGCGAAGCGCCATACTGCAAGGTATGATTTTAGAAGCAGGGTCAGTATCTTATGGCATGTTTATATGTAATGTATATGTAACTGAACTTTTTGAGCGATGCGTCAGTTTAATTGAGAGATTGAAGCAGATAAATAGGCTCAGGATACAATGCAGTGAGAACTAGCACGAGAAATGTCACAAGTATATACGTATCAAGTCTGCCCCTTTTAAACGGATTACTTTCTTATTTTAAAATTAATGTACAATAGATAATATCCTTCCTTTTCACCATAAACAAAATATACATACTTCCGTCTTTCATGACAAGCATGGGTTCTATTCATATACTCAGAATTCTAATGGATCCGTCTTTCCTGGCGTTGATCCACAGCCAATCTTTTTGGGTTGTTTTTTCTTGGTTTCGCTGGATGGCGGTGGCTCCGTTCGTCGCTCGCTGACGCCGCCTTCAGGTGGTAGATGGAATGTTTCAATAGCGAATCGCTTCCGACGAAGTTTGAAAGCAAGGTCATTGCTTCCACCTGCAGACAAAACAGACAATTTGGTACTGGGTGGCAATAGCGAGTTGAGTACCGGTAGCTTATGTACATAAAAGAAGCCATGATAGTTTTGGGTGTAGGGAGCGTCGTTATGTACCATGGAACCTAAATGGTGTCATTTTCTCATAATCAATAACGTACTTTGTTATCCACTCTTACTAACACCAAGGCTAATATATGTTTACCTGCAAAAGATTCCACTTCAACTACAGCATCAACCATATGTTCAATTCGCTTAACAAAATTAGGCGCTTCATCATACAAGTACGCCGGAATTGTGACTACAGCAGCGCCAAAAGAGAATCGGAGCAAACCACGCAACGCATGGAAGAATTTATACAAGTCCTATACACATAACGATGGCCCTCAAGTATGAATACAATGTTTCTTTGAGAAGAAAAGATGCGCTATGAGACGGAATACCTTTTCAACTTACACAAGAAGATTTGTTCTGCCAGCTTGGTGATGCTAAGGAATGAATACCAATTCGTAGTACGTTTCGCATAGTATTAGGCTTTGCGGGTATAGCCGAGCTATAATGATACAGGTGAGAAAAAATAAGCTTTCCACTGAACACTCACACACAAGGCAAAAGCACCAAGTTACTTACCTGAAGTTGTTTTCCAAGATTAATTTGCGGATATTTTCCAACAAGGTTGCATAATCGTCCTCACCATCCGCATTATCCAGCACAGTTGGTTTGGTTTCTTCCAATACTGATTCAGGAATTTTCTTTGTGAGGTCGAAAAGACTGCAGTAAGGCTTTGGCTCACCGTTACTAGCCGAAGATTTGCCATCTCCACCAGATGTAGACGACTGAGTTTGTGGCTGTGGCGAAGGTGATGCTAAACGGTGTTCATGATATGGTTCGTTTTAGTTTAAAACAAAGCACGCATTACGCATGTATATCAATTTGGAGATAGATAGAAAAAACAGAGCTTCCACTTTCCACCCAGCACCTGGGTTAGGCTAATAATTACCTTGTCGAACACCTGTCTCAAACTTTTTCAAGTGTGCATAACGCCAAGCAATCTTCAACCGATCTCCTTCGGCGTTGGATCGCGCTGCACTTTTTGCTGCTGCATCATGATCGTCGTCATCGTCGTTGGCACCGGAAGTTGCTAACCACATTAAATTGCGCAGTAGCTCGTCTGCCTCCTCGTCACGCGATGCCAAGGCGCAATGGTGACCGGACGCCATGCCTTGGGCTAAAAAGTACTTGAGCAAAAGCTGTGCATAGGTCGTGGCACGATCTTCTTTGATCAGTAGCACGGTGCCGACAGGCAAGCCGCCACCTATAATGTCGTCGAGTGAAGGGACGCCGGTGGAAATCAAAAGTTGACCATTGTAAGCACTGAGTCGCGAGCCTGGAGGAAGTTTGGGTTGTTGATCTGCATTACGTTTGCGAAAGCTCATTATCGCGGTTGTTATTGTTTTCTTTGCAAAGAAATAGAGCTCGTACAATTCCGCGTTTCGCGGCTATGCTGATGAAAAATTGCTATCGGAAAATCAACTGTCTGCTACTACTGCTTCTTCCATCCTATTGTCTAGTCATTATTTATTCGTTTAGGGCATGGTTGCTGACTGGTTGCAACTCGTTGTTTATGATTATCAAGAGGAGAGCATACCAAATACAGTAAAATTACAACGGAAATGACGGCTAAGCTAGAATTGGCTGGTGGCCTATAGAAGAATAACGGAGCGAGGGAAATTAGATAGGCGATCTAGTGGACTCAGCAGAAAACAGGACAGTGCAATTTTGCGGCACGATTGTGGCTAGCTTGGATTCGACTGCAAACCTTCTTCTTTGAAGACAGACGCTCCATCATCTTTCTGTCAAACATTTGATTAATCCATTGGTTCAGAACGTGATGAACTCCTTATGCAACTGCAATTTTTCGAAGTTTTGAAATTTGAAATCGTCTTATTGATTATTATCAGCATATGTGCTATATGGGCTGTATACTTAAGGCACTTTTAAACTTATTTGCAGGTTTTTTCGCGAGTGCAAGTGCAAGAATTTTTTTTGACCAATAAAACTTCATGAAACATCTGCAACTTTGAGTGTGCCGCAAGTTATATTTTAGTCTTTCACTGCAAGGTTTGCTAGTGTAACTTTTATTTCGATCCAGTATAAGACTTGTACTAGATGTATGATGTGATTGATGATAATAATAATATAAATTAAGATGGTATATGTAAACCATACTATTTATTTCTGACCGTCTTATACATGGAAGTTATCATTTGATACTACATACAGGATACAGTATCGAGTCATTATAGTTGTACTGTATACTCGATGATTCCTAATCACAGTCAATAACTCACGCCACATAGTTTTCTTTACAAATGATGTTCGATACGCGTTCTGTTCCTCATCGTCGTAATGGCTTACGTCAACTGTTTAGGGAACTCGTACAACGTACTTGTGTTACGTGTTGCCATTTTTGGATAGGAATATTACCGACCTGCACTTGCGAAAGTTATCTGCAGATGCAGGTTCTTTGTACAGGAAAATTCTGACCAATCACATTACTTTTTTATTTGCACTTGCACCTTGAAAGTGCCTTTAATAGTTTATTGAAGATAGCTGTGTGTGACCTCAGCATCGCATGTCAATACAAAAATTTACAAGTCGAATTGACATACGTATAATGGTACATCTCTCCATCGTTACAGATCACAAGGCAGCTGTACGGTAGCCACGCCATTTCTCATACCCAGTGCGGCGATAAAAGTCAATGAGCTCGACCCAATCCACGTATGACTTTTGGACTCCCCGCTGCTTCAGGATCTGGTTGGCCTTGACGACAATACCCAAACCAATACCTCGACCACGTTCTTCCTCGGCAACACCCACACATGCCATTCCACCGCTTGCTTCGGTAAACAGTGTGTCATCCGTCCATATCAAATCACCACGGTCTGGATGGGTCGTATGTGTAGTATTCAAAACCAGGCTGGCAAGGAGCTTTCCGTTTGCATTGTCCTGACGAGCCACCAGCAAATCCTGGAAATCTCCCAGTTCAGCATGATGCTGATAGGTCGCAAGCCAATGTGAAAAGTAACGCTGCTGGAATGCATACAATTCCCACAATTGGCTTGGCTTGATTCTGCCAAACCAGATGTTTTCTCGGCGCATACGATCCTCGACCGTCTCGTCATTACTATCACGTTGGCCCAGGTTTCCCATGAGATCCCACACCTGCTTAAGTTGGAATTTCCATCCACGTCGCTCGAAGAAACCTTGATGTTGCTCTTTGTCCTCAGGAAGACCCGGGAAGAAGCGAGGATAGGTGGATCCGAGCATAAATGCGTTGCAAGATCGACTTCGCAAGTCATCAAGTGCATGATCGTGTAAAAGTGTACCGATACCACGTCCTTCGTGCTTTGGACTAGTCATCAACAGCATCAGCTCACCTCTCTTGTCCACATAATTGGTCTGTGTAGCAACAAAACCAATTATTGCGCCGGTCTGGCTGTTTGCGGCTATCCAATGGTTGCCGTTCAAGGCAGTGCGCAACGCTTTTTCCATCTTGTCGATAGCAAGCGGCCATCTCAAACCAAACACTTCATCCCATAACGACGTCACGCCATCCAGATGAAGTTTGGGATCGTATTTCTCAATCATACAGGTTGACTGCTTTTTGCTGAGTGTTACATCAGGGATTGTCACAGGTAACTTGCTGTTGGGAGTAGTTTCTCCAAAGATGACCTTAATAGCGGCTTCGTGCGCTGGAGGTGTGTATTCGTATGCAACGACATAGGTATCAATTTCCGGGAAAGCCATCAAGTCATATGGATTCATCACAGCAGCAACCACCAACCGCTTGGCCTCCTTGTGTACATGCTTCACCATGTCGACTTGAAAGGTGTGCAAGTTAGCATTGGCAGTACCGATAATTACCCAGTCTGCCTTGCGGATCGACTCAGTCAGCTCGCCAATATCGCTACCAGGTGTATATATAATGTAGTCGATGTTGCTGTGTCGTTTCACCAGTGATTGATGGAATGAATCGAACGGCCATACTTCAGAATCGATGGCCAGTGTTTGTGGGACATGTGCAGCAAGAAAAAGAATGTAGGTGCCCTTCTTTGGCTGGATAGGTATATTGTTTTTGTTGTCACGAACAATAGTAGGGACTTTGTTGTACAGTCGCTCGCTCAGCTCCAGAACAGGTTTTGTAAGTGGCGGCATGTTATCTAATGCAATATCCCAGGTTAAAAACCGGTCCTTGAGCTGCTCCACCCGCTTGCATGACTTTTGCAGCGCCTCTAGATCCAGTTGGCATTGGTCGTATGCGTTATATAGCAGATCAAATGCTCTGCGCTGAAGCTCGAACGTGTGCGAGATCATGGCCATATCATTTCCTGCACGCAGTGCTTCCAATGCTCCTTCGGGAGTGCCCACCGTGTCCTTGACAGCCTCCATTTCAAGGCAATCCGTAATAATAATTCCCTCGTATCCCATGCGACGACGCAACAAATCTGTAACAACGGCACGTGACAAGCTTGCCACTTGTTTCTCTGTGATCTGTGGCAACACAATATGTGCTATCATGATTGACGACGGGTATGTCAAAGCACTCGGACCAGCATGCATAGTTTGACGAAATGGCACTAGTTCGACTTGCTCTAGTTCTTCCAATGACTTGTCGATTACAGGTACACCGATATGCGAGTCCGTGGCTGTGTCGCCGTGACCTGGAAAATGCTTGACGCTCGTGGCAACATGACCTCGATGGTAGCCTTCGACTTGAGCCAGGCCCAACCGACCGACTTCTGTCGGATTTTCGCCGAACGAACGCACGCCGATAACTGGGTTCAGTGGGTTATTGTTAACGTCCAAAACAGGGGCCAAATTCCAGTTAATACCGAGTGACAGTAGCTCTTCTGAAACAGAGATGGCCACATCGCGTGCAGCAGTAGATGATCCAAGTGCTCCAAGGGCCATACTGCCTGGTAAATAAGTGCCACTCTTGCTGCCCAAACGGCGGACAACACCGTTCTCTTGATCCACAGCAATAAATAAGGGTCTCTTGTGACCAGCTCGTCGTGCGATTTGCTGTAGGGATGCAGTCAGTCGACGCAGTTGATCGGGTGTGTCAATGTTGCGCGAAAATAAAATGATGGAGCCAAGATTGTGGTTTTCAATGAGGTCAACGATACCTGGAGTTGGCTCCAGACCATCAAAGCCACACATGAGCAACTGGCCAAGGTCTGACTTTATCATTACAGACGACGAAGCTTGTGTGTCAACTGTCATTGTTGGTGACAACCGCGGGTAATGGGGATAGAAAGGGGAAAAGCTGG